ACTGACAGGAACTAGGAAAAGAGGTCATATTTCTCCTGTATTAGCTTCTCTGCACTGACTCCCTGTAAAATTCAGAATAGAATTTAAAATCCTCCTCCTCTCCTACAAAGCTCTTCATGGCCAGGGCCCTTCATATTTTAAAAAGCTCATAGTACCCTATCAATTAAATTTGAGGTTTCTGCCTCTTAAAAGGAAGTTTTTCCTTGCTGCTGTCACTAAGTGCTTTCTCATGGTGGGAACTGTTGGGTCTAGACCTGCTCTATTTGAAAAGTGTCCTGATATAATTTCTGTTATGAGTTGGCGCTATACAGATAAAATTGAATTTAATTGAATTTAATAGTTTGTTGAAAATTGGGTTAAATAATGCTCCAAAGTTAGGTTAAATTTAAAACTGGCATGGCTATTTTCAAAGGGATCCCTTGACCTCTGACCTCAAGATCTCGAATAAAAATGGATTCTGTGGGTAACCACAAGTTTTTTTTGCATGCAGTATAAACGTGTGTATTTGAATATTTCATACTGGCACATATTGTGACCTGTAGGATAACCCCAGCCTTATGAAACTGTACAGCCACACACTAGAGACCAAGGGCATCAAGAGGATGGATGGCTTTCCTAGCTATATTGACACCACCATATTGTACAAAAATTGTAAGCTAGGCTAAATTGACATGAAAAAGTTTAGTGTATTACATCATCCAAAGCAGCAACCAATCTTAGCCCTGCATTTAATCCAAACAAAACCAAAGTGTAAAGTTGCAGTTTTAATGAGGGGTTAAGACAGACTATTTCTTGGCCAGTGCAGTAACTTCCTGGAGTGAGTCTACAACATTAAAACAACAATGTGTAGCTGTTACACTTCAGTTTATGTACAGATTTAACAAACAAAATGTAATGTGTTAATTAGTGAGTGTTAGGGGTGCTGGTAGGTGGATTTTGTTACCTTTGGACAGTGCCAGGCTAGCTGTTTATTCTAAGCTAAGCTAACTGGCTGCTGGCTGTAGCTTCATATATAATGTACTGACATGATATCAATCATTTAACTGTCGCAAGAAAGAGAGTGAGTATATTTCCCCAAATGCAAACTATTCCTTTAATAATGTAATGTTATTTATGTCATTATGCTGAATGCATATATTGGCTACATTTTAATTTTTTTAGAGATTATGTTATAATACTGTATTAGTCTACTAAACAAATTATAGGAGGTCCGGTGTGTAACATTTAAGAGGATCTGTTTTCAGAAATAGAATATAATATTCATAGGTATGTTTTCATTAGTGTATAGTCACCTGAATATAATAATTACATCATGTTGAACTGCCATGTTTCTACAGTAGCCCAAAATGGACAAAACAAACATGTTTCGCAGCCATTATAGTTTCTCCTACACTTCCCAGCCTGTTCCTGCCAGTTCTCATTTCCTGGTTGTCAAATAGAGACGCCAGCTGTGTAAAACTTCAGCACTAGATGCTGCTAAATCATACACACAGGTCCTTTAAATAATATTTATAGCTGCATGTCATAGTTCTGTCTCATTTTCTCAAAATATTGGCTTAGCATCTTAAAATAATGACATTGTATCACAAAATCAATATTTTCGGATACTAATTCAAAATATTGAAAATGTTGTTTTGAGATGTCAAGTCATTATTTTGAGAAAGTTGCTCATTATAATGACTTACAGAATACCTTTTTTCCCGTCACATTGGCGGAAATAGGCTTCCATACAAAGGCCTTAAGAGGTTACTTTGGCCATGAGGTCATGAGCTAGATCAGAATTCAGATTTTTATTTTATTGTATCACTCCTAACTTTTTATTTATCCATTTATTCTTCTCCACTGAGTAGAGTCTAGAGCAGAAGGTGTTTTGAAATCAGTGTCCTACTGACTCAGTAAAATTCTGAGATGTTGCTACAGGAATCCGTGTGACCCGCCCAAACATTGAAGTGTGGGCGCGTCCACGTGCTCTAACGTGAGCGCGCCTCGCCTGCCACTGTATCACTCACTTGTGCTGCGTTCATGTATATCGGGAAAAACTTTCTTTTAGAGCACATACATTACGCCTTGTAAAAATTACTGTGAAAGACATAAAAACGCTATCAAATCTCCAGGAAGGGGCAGACCCTAATATTGTTTTTTCCTTTGGGAAAAAGTATGGTAATAATTCAGTTTATTGAAGAAATCAGTGTAATTTGCTTAAAAGCTAAGTTCCAAAGCAGCAAGAATTAACATTAATTTTGGCAAATATAATCTGACAGCTCAGCTTCAGTTCAGTATTAACAGACTGGATATCAATAGGTAAAGTACACTGTTGAAAGCAGGGTTGGGAGGGTTACTTAAAAAATGTAATGTAATGACACAATTACTAATTACCTGTTAAAAAATATAGTCCTAATCCAAATATCATAATATTAAAGTAATGTAATTTGATTACAGAATAATAATAATAACAATAATAATAATAATGAAAATAAAAGAAGCCATAAAATAAAATGAAATAAAATTAATGAAGAAACTAGTTCAGAAAACTGTCAAAATTTCTATTAAATGTAACTGTAATCTCATTACGTCTTTTTTCTCTAACTGTAATGATAACAGTACATTTTTTAAAAATCCTGATTAAGGTAACTCAGTTACATTCAATCCGTTACTCCCTAAACCTGCTTGAAAGTTATATTGTGTCAGATTCCTACGGCACTTGAACGCAACAGCGGACTGGGGTGAGCTCAGCCCTCCTCGCTGTCTGTATCGATGAAGTTGTTTCAAAGATGGCGGATTTCCTGCCGTCCCGCTCCTTCTTATCTCTGTGTTTCCCTAACTGTCTCCTCACAAGCGGCGAGGTAGAACAGTTGCGGAAATCTAAGGAGATAGATAAGTGTATTAATCGAGATAAGACGTATGTAAAAAGGCTAGTAAAGATCTTATTGCTTGGAGCGGGCGAGAGCGGCAAGTCCACTTTCCTCAAGCAGATGCGCATTATCCATGGGCAGGACTTCGATAAGAAGGCCAAAGAAGAATTCAGAGCTACGATTTTTAGTAATGTTATAAAAGGTAAGGCCACACCGATCACCCGTTGTGTTTCACATGTTGTAGCTGGTCCGCTTTGACCTCTGTGTCGGTCTACTTTAGTCTACAGAGTATTGACTGGGAAGTTGGTAGCCATGCTAGCTGCAGCTGAAGCGACTTAAGGGGCACTTTTTTGTGTTCGACAAAGCTAAGCGACCAAGAAACGCCCATGTTATTTGTGTTTGTACGCGGTGGGACCAAAAGGGACGGTGGCGCGTTCACTGGGGGTCGTTGTTTGTGTTTATTCAGAGCCAAACACACATTAAACATGCTCTCCTTTCTTAATGTTAAAGCTGCAGTAGTATTTTTTTTAATAAAAATAACCATTGTCATAGTCACTGAAACTTTCACCATATCCTGACAGTAGTACATGAGACAGAAAATCTGTGAAAAAAGCAGGTTCCTCTGGCTCGTTTTAGTGCTCCTAATAGCAAGATTTCAAGGGCCTGAACAAAAACAACCAATCAGATCCAAGACATACAGTTGATTGTTGAGTCTCATTCCCAGGATGTCAC